CATCAATTCTCTAATAAAACAATAACATTTATCTCTAAAAACTTATCTTTGCTCGTAAAACACTTCATTCTTCTTTAAATCTATATCAATAAAGATGATCTGACCCTTCAATTTAACTATTTGTGTTTATTTCTTCCATAGTTTAGACGTATTTAAACTCCCTGCTAGCAAATAATCTTTGTTAACTTAACAACGAACAGTTTAAGCTTAACAACATTCAGATGCACATTATTATTAAAAAATAATAATATTATTATTTTTTACATTATAATGACATTCTAAATGTCAAATGTATATTATTATTAAAAAAATAATTTATTATTATTTTTTTATAATATACTACCAGTCTGAATATTTAGATACATATTATTATTAAAAAAATATAATAATATTATTTTTTAAATATACTGTCAGTCTGAATATTAAAGGCATATATATTATTATTATTAATAATAATATTATTATTTTTTACAATATATCAACATTCTGAATGTTTAGATTCACATTATTATTAAAAAAAATATTATTATTATTATTTATATTATAATACTATTCTAAACATTAAAGGTACTTTTATTTTTAAAAAATAATAATAATAATAATTTTTTATAGTATAATACTATTATGAAATATCAGAAACATAAATGTTAAAAAACATTTTTTGTTTTTTAATAGTGACACATAATTTTAAATATTCAAATACGCATAATTGTTGAAAAAACAATAATAATATTATTTTTTAAATATACTGCCAGTTTGAATATTGAAGGCATATTATTATTAAAAATAAATATAATAATATTTTTTTTACAATATATCACTAGTTTAAATATTAAGATATACATTATTATTAAAAAATAATAAGATTATTATTATTTTGCAATATACTGTTAGTTAAAACATTAAAAGTGCATTATTGCTAAAATACAATAAGAATAATATTTTTTTTTAAATTATAGTGTTTTGTAGTAAAAAGAGTAAATATTACTTTAAAAATAATAGATGATATTTAGCTAGATTGGGTAAATTTTAGTATAAACAATATTTTTCAATTATAAATAAAGACCAATTTGCATAGTAAAAAAATAAGGTATGTTAATTTATAAAATTTTATGTTAAAAAAGATCAGTATTTAAAAATAGTATAAATTGATCTTATTAATCAAGTAAAGAATTAGCATCTAAAAATAGATTTATTTTATTTTCTTTGCAATAGAAAGGGTAGTAACTTTAATTCTTATCTTAAGGAAATATAAAATATAAAAAAATAATAAATCATTATTTTTTTAATTATTTTTTATATGTAAAAATATAATTTTATATATATATTTATTTATTTTTATATTAAAGAAATCATTTTTATCATTCTATTAAAATGACTTTTTTATCATTTTTTTAAAATGATATTTTATTATTTTAATAGAATAATTTTTTTATCATTTTTTTAAAATGATATTTTATTATTTTAATAGAATAATTTTTTTATCATTTCTTTAGAGTTTAATTTATTATTTTATCAGAATGATTATTTTTATTATTCCTTTAAATATAATTGCCTGACGAAACCTATTTTGGTTTTATTAAAATGTCTAAACCTCTAGTTTTAACAGGTTTTTAATAAGTCTATAATATTGTTTTGACTGTTTGATATATCTTGTCAGGTTTCGACAGGTTTCGACAAGTTTCGACAGATTAGTTTATATGATTTTATTATTATTTTGACACTTTCGACATTCAACGGTCTATTTAACCCAGGAGTTTTGTCAGGCAACTATACCTTTAAAATAATATTTATCATTTTATAAAAACAATTTTTTTTTCATTCTTTTAGAACAATTTTTTATTATTCTATCAAAATGATTTTTATTATTTTATTGAATTGACTTTTTTATCATTCCTTTCAAATGATATTTTATTATTTTATTAAAATAATTATTTTTATTATTCCTTTAAAATAATATTTTATTATTCCTTAAAATGATATTTTGTTATTTTATCAAAATTATAGTTTTTTATCATTCCTTTAAAATGATCTTTATTATTCTATTGAAATGACTTTTTTATTATTCCTTAAAATGATATTTTATCTAAGGTATTAAATGAGTCAGATTAAATGAGTTTTTGTTAAAGTTTACTTGACTCAAAAAAATAAAGTTAAGTTGAGTTAAGTCAAAAAATTTTTAAATTTCAACTCAACTTGACTTGAGCTATATTAAGTAAATAAAGATATATTAGACAATTTGTTCTGATAGAATAATAATGCATTATTTTAAAGAAATGATAAAGGAACCATTTTGATAAAATAATAAATCATTATTCTAAAAAAATGATAAAATATCATTTTAAAGAAATGATAGAAGAATCATTTTAATTAAAAAAAAAAATAAATAATATTATTTCTATAAAATTATAAATGAATAATAGTTCTTTTTGTAATGATAAAAAACTCATTTCTTAAAATAATAATCAATTGTTCTTTAAAAATAATAATTTAATCATTCTTTTAGAATGATTTTTTATATTATTTTTTACTAATAATTATTTATATCATTCTTTTAGAATGATTCTTTTATTATTTCTTTAAAATGATATTTTATTATTCTAGTAAAATAATTCTTCTATATTTTTTAATACTATGTATTATCATTTTATTGGAACAATTCTTCTATCATTCCTTTAGAATAATACATTATTATTCTATTGAATTAATGTTATTTATCATTCTTTTATCATTTCATTAGAATGATTCTTTTATTATTCCTTAAGAACAATATACTATAATTCTATCAAAATATTTTTTTTGCTATTTTTTTAGAATGAAGATTTATTGTTTTATTGAAATAAACTTCCATTTTTTCTTAAGAATGATATATATTATTCTATTAGAACAATTTTTTTTATATTTTTTTTTAAAAAAAAATTGTTAAATTTTTACTTATATTTAGTTTGACTTTAGGCTCAGATTTTGGGCTTGACTTAGATTTAAGTTTTACTTAACTTTTAGCTCTAATTAAGCTTAAATTATCTCAATTCAAATCAAGTTTAACTTGAAATTTGACTCAAGTTAAATAAACAAATTTTTTTTTGATAAAACTTGATTCAACTTAACTCAACTTATTTGACTTGAAAGTTAGCTCAGTTCTTTAAGAACTCTAGTTTTATTATTTTATCAAGAAAATTTTTTTTATTATTTGTTTAGAATGATTTTTCTTATTATTTATTAAAATGATTTTTTTTCATTCCTATAAAATAATATTTAAATGTTTTATCAAAATAATTTTTTTTTAAATCATTTCTTTAGAATTATTTTTCTAATATGATTCTTTTATCATTATAATGGAATGATTATTTCTTTAATATTAAATAAAATTCTATTTAAAAATAATGTTTTTAAATTATAAAGATAATATTAAATTTAAATAAGATAATATATATAATATTAATAGAAATAATCAATAAATTTATTTTTAGTTTTGAACTATTTTTATTATTACAGATTGTTAATTTGTTTATATATGATTAAATATTCAAATTCAATTATTTCAAAATCAGATTTATTAGAGTTACTGCCCTTTCTATTGCAAAGTATCTATATGATAAATATAACTAATATAATAAATAATATATATAAAATAAATTTATCAAATTTAAGAAAGTTAACAAATATATTAAATGATATAAATATGGATTATTCATTAAATATGATCAATTTATCATATTTGTTAACAAATTAATTATTAATTTAAAAATTAATTTTTGATGATTTTTTAATAATATTAATCTTACAGCTAACAATGTAAAGATTCATTAAAATGCATAATTTTGTTAATAATATAGCTATCCTTTTTAACTTTATTTTTTATATCTTCAACGATATACTGTTTAATATTTAAATTTGCTTTACATATACTCTACTTTTCTGCAGCACTTTTTAATACATTTGCAAATTTAACACAAAATATTACTAATAAGAATGCTAAGTAAACTTACCATCATTATATTTTAATAAGTGAAAAAAGTATTTAGGGGGATTAATATTTGCAAGATATGAAGAATAAAAATCAACTTATCCAATAAGATATAAAGTCAAAAAGATATATACAATTTATCCAAGAATCAGAAATTTGTTAATAGATTCCTATCAATGTTTAGCTATATAATAGATGCATTATTAGCTTGCATTTTATTAAGACTATAATTAATAAAATATTCTTTATTAGGAGTCAAAATAGAAGCTGAAATAAAGTTATTCTATATTATGTATTTAGGATTACATCAGAAATATCTTCATCATTATTAAAATATTCTCTCTTATAATAAGATGTAAAACTAATTATCAATTGGATTATTTTTAGGTAAACATAATAATTTATTATTAATAAAAATATTAGCATAATATAAAGGTTGAAACCGGTTAATTTTTAACCGGTTAATTAACCGGTTAAGACGTTTATCTTGTTAACCGGTTAAAGATTTTTTTTAACCGGTTAAAATAACTAATGTTAACTCTGGCCGAAATTTAATTTTCGGGCAGAATTAAATTTTTTTTGCAATTACACTAGTTTTGCCAAATTTATAGTGCCGGCCTGAGTTAAATTTAACCGGTTAATTAACCGGTTAAGGATTTTTGGGCCGGTTCCAACCTCTATCATAGGACATTCGGATAAAGTAATTACAGTCGAGGAGATAATGCGATGATTTTAATGATGCATAATCCTTCCAAAAGAAAAAAAAAGAAATGACATTTAATTTATTTATGTGAAAAAATCATTTTGGAACTTATTAAAATTTCAGTCTTTTGCATTATTTAAGTTCATTTTCAACATCAGAATACTCATAATTTTTTTTTATAAAAATTTTGCCTGATGCTATTCTCCAATGTTTAATAATTATCAAAAAGGTTTTTGTTCCGAATCACGAATCAAGAACAATTTTTCAATTTAGCTTAATAAAATGTAAATGCTAATAATGTTAATTGTGTTTATTTATATCTGTCCTATATTACATGACATGAAACATGAAATCTCTATTATTTAATACATTTCCAGGTATTTCTAATATTTCCTCTTTTCTATTACTAGTATCTAAACCAGGAACACGTAATATTCCCGCGCGGTTCTTTTTACTTTTATGTGATTTATATAAAAACACTCCAGTTAATATTATGAATCCAACAATTATAACAGACACAACAGATGCACTAATTAGAATTGATTTGTTATTTTTGGGTGGTGGTTCACCATTTACTGTTGATGGGTCGGGTATCTGCGTATCAAAAGAGGTTGTCCATACATAATTATCATTTTTACTAATATCAAGTAATAACACATCATTATCAATCGTTTGATCATATTCTTTTCCTATATTAAGGCCAATAATAAACATAAATAAGGTTTAAACGCTAAGTTGAATTCATGTATGACAAGAAAATTATATTTACCAAATGTTATAACCATAAACCTTCCAACCACATTTGCTTGATGATGAAATCGAGACATTGGAATTTTTCCAGTAACCTTTGGAATCGACCATGTCATGCTCGTTAAATCTAACACGTGAAGCGCATCTGCGGGGTCAAGTTGAAATCCTCCAAAAATTATAATTCGTTTTCCATCCAATCCTATTTATAATCATATAATCATAATTAATTAAAGTTTAAAATATTTCAATTTGATTTTTGTCAAAAAATATTTACCAAGTACGGCAGTAAAAGCATCTCTTCCAGAAGGGATATTACCCGTAGCTTCCTGATTAATTATCTTTGTTTTTAACAACTGGATCATTCATGTAATAATATCTTTTATAAATAAATTCAAATAAAGCATACCTTTTGAGTCCAAGAGTTGCTAATTGTATCATAAAAGTGGATCTAAAGTTGATTAAATCATTTAATGTAATGTTTCGAATTTGATAATAGTTTCAAGAAAAAAAATTGAATTAAATTTACAATTCACCTCATTTAGTGGGAATTTTTTTCCAAACTCGTTCATGCCGCCTAAAATGATATAATAAATATAATAAATAGGATGAGATAAAAGGTAATGATTTATACATCATGTTAAATAACTTCTTACCAAAATAAGCAATTTGATGATTTGGTAACAAAGTTGCACCACAATGAACCCTTTCGGCTGGCGCATTTATCAAACTTCCTCTTGTGAAACCAAGATTGACCACATCAAAAATGACCATACTGTTGGTCAGGTTTTTATTATACATCCCTCCAAACAAGTAAATCTTTTCATTAACACTTATGCCTTTTAGATTACTTTTTCTATTGTTTTCAACATTAAATTTTGGAGTTTTTATCCATGTATTATTTATCGTATTGAACATATATACCAAATCCATCACAGTGTTTTTAACTATTGGGTTTCCTCCATATAGAATCAGTGCACCATTACTCGTACCAGATGCTGCACCAGAATGTGCCGGGACATTATTGTTGCTTGTTATGTCATTCCAAAATAATTTATCAGTATTAAATGGAACGGTCATATCAAGGTAAAGAAATTGTTTTCCAATAGCTTCTTCATTTGCTTTCACTTTTAAATCATGTATTCCTCCTATAACATATAATTTATTATTAACAAGTGTGGTCGTGTGAAGTGATCGTTGAAGAGTTTGACAATTTACCCCAACTGATAATTGAATTATTAAAACCCATGAAACAATATACAGTGAAAAAGATTTTGTCATTTTAAATCAACTACGGTCAAAAAAAAAAAGAAAAAAGTGCTTGCATAGTTTCGCGACGTGATTATAATTATATATATATAATTTTTCTTCCTAAAAAAAATATGCACTGCAATACTTTTGATGTTTAATAAACATGTTTCTAATCTTCTTCTCGAAAGATATCACTATAAATGTGTTAATTAGATCTGAAACAGTACTCCCTGCATCTGCATTCTATTGTCCAATAAAAGAATTGCGCCGAACAAAACATTAAAAGTGCTGTAACAAATAACTCCGTAATTCCGACGCTTGAAAACTATTTTGGAATAGATAATAAAATGACAATGAAGAATTTCGAAACGTAATGTGTGGCGCGCAAATCGTCAAAATTTTTTTTTTTTAAATAATACGAGAAACATCACCTATTATAGGGTTCGTCATATGAAAGCTGCTATTATTAGGCATTTGAGTGTTTTTATAGATTTGGTATAGTATGGTATAAATAATGAAAAAGCTTCAAGTGCTTGTCTATTTGAATATTTGTGTGTCTAATAGAGACGCACCTTCGTACCTGGGACAATACGTTAATAAATTCTTCTTCACTGCACTGTACATGTAAATATAAAGTGAGAATTGTCTTATTAGCTTTAGTTAAATAATGTTAATGATTGGATCGATTCTAAAAATACAGCATGCCAGACTGGACTGATGATGACGGTTTTATTGGGTTCTGCCGGTCTTTGGACTAACTTGCGCAATTTTGGACGGATTGATTTTACAAATTATCAAAAAAAAGTTTAATAATTTTTTTTTTTAAAAAAAATAATATCGTAAACCTTAATTTAATGCACAAATGTGTCACGATTATTTTTTTTTTTAGTTTATTTTAATATTATTTGCTGATATTTTTATTATGTTAGCATATGATTAGATCGGAATATTATCCGAAATATTCATTGAGATTAAAAATTAATGTTACATTTACTTCTTAGTCAACATGCATGAAAATATTCCCCATTATTATAATCATTTTTTCATTCAACGGTAAAAAAAAATAATCTGTAACGTGACCGTCATATTTTTATACAACACTTCATACAGCGCTTTATTTGTACTACTTAATTATTGAATGTTTTCATTATTCGGTAAATAATAATCTTGGTTGTTGGTGATCCTAAGTGTTGTTATTTATTTACCTAATAATTCTGTATAGTACCTTCAAAGAACTATGTTTCAGTCATTCTGACATTTTATGATAAGGCATATTTTAAATACATCCAGAATTAAATCTTTCAACTTTTTGGATCGAGACAGATAAATTCTTTGTTGTATAATTTGATGTTTATATGACTGTAAATTTAATTTATTTTTTTATTTTATTTTTATTCGTTTTTTTTTGTCTTTGAAATATTGACTTGACATTGTGTTCTTAAAGTTTAATTTCTTGACAAAGTCCGCAATTTTCAGAGACAAAGCAACGGAAAATTCTTGTAACAATTTTATATCTTTTTGCATAATTAATTTACCTTATTAAGCAAATTTCTTTTTGATCATTCCAAACAAACATTTTAGTCTTTGATCTGATTGGTTATGGCAGATCACTTGTTTGACATATATAAACCACAATTAAAAAGATTTACCAACTTTATAAAATAATTTAATATACATTGAAAGAATGGATGATGCTTATACATTATGGAAAGAGTATTACTCCAAACTACTTCGAATCGAAAAAATTTTTATAATAACGTTCTTGATAAATTCGATAGGATCATTCATTTTATCGTTAACTTTTCTGTTATTAACAAATAAATTTTCAAATAATTTTCAAAATTTGCTTTTATTACTGTTTCCAATTGCATCCGGAATAGTCACCGTAAGTAAATAGCGTCTTTAAATAAAAAAGATTTATTTTTAACTTTTTTTTTTTTTTTAGTTTAATCAGCGAACCATACTCCATGGTGTAGTCTTTTTAATTGTGAATAATTTACCAATTGTAATGTTTTCTCTCTATTTTAATACGTTCGAATTTTGGTGTCCAGAATGCCAAAATTTGTCATCATATTATGCGGCGATAATTTTAATTTGTTTTGAAATATCATTACAAACATTTTACATCGTTTCAATTTATCTATTATGGAGATGGAAAATATGGCCGATGATCAAAGAGTTCGAGTATTCCAAAGTTGAAGAAATTAAACGATTGCATGCAATATATCAATTACAATACCCGATACTTCACGGAAAGTTAACAATGATTGGACATTGGTTGTGCATTTACCTAACATTCGTGATCTATGATATAAAAATCATAAGGGAAGGTCATGTAACAACAAGGGCCTTTTATTATTTTTTGGTCCCTTTAAATTCGTTATTCTGTATATACACTTTTTCCATGATTCGAGGAGTGAGTAAATGAATGAAAGAATGAGATTTTGTCGTTGCCTTTACAGAGTGTCTAATATATATATTTTTTTAATTATTAGGTAAAAAAGGAATCGACGTTCATGCTGTCTATTACATATTTTGGAAATGTTTTGCAGGCCGGATTCTTGATTTATTTTACAACAGAATATTGTTACTTAGAAACAGATTCATCTCCCAAATCTTGTCTTAAGGAAGATTTCTTTTTTCAAACGCTCATTTACACATGTAATTACTATTTGATGATTTCTTTATCACGTCATGCATAATCCAATAATGATTCTCTATTTTTTTTCCTTAGGTTTTATGTCTGGTATTTTCTTGATATTATCAACTTGGAATACATTGAGATGTCAAAGTAATTTTGGACAAAACCTTGCCTTTTATAGTAAGTTATTTTCAATCATGATCCTCGTTTTACCGAAAATTTTATTTTTTATTTTATATTATTATTGTTCTATAATAGTTAACTATGAACCATGTCCCAAAGAATTTAAATATGAAAACTTTACAGAAAAAATGGCGTTCGTATAAAAATTATTCTCCAACATAATAAGTCTTTTTATATATACAGATATTAAAAGAAAAAAATTTTTTTTCTTGAATTGCATCATAACTTTTATTAAATAATTATGAGCATTCCCCTTTCAATTATAGAAATTACAAATTAAATAATTAATTAAGTATGATATTATACAAATTCCACTCGAGCTTCATCCCAAATCTGTTCTTTTAATTTACGTTGCGATATTTGAACAAAATAAATGTTGCTGCTATAATCTTCAATAATGCTAGAATAATCTTCAAATTTATTCCCAAACGGCAACCTCCATTCGAGCACTTTTATTTTATTCTTACTAAAATTTAAAAATCCTTTTAACCCATCTGGTGACATAATCCACCCGTTTACTTCAAGTGAGGTGATGGTCAGAGGAATTCCTTCGGCTATCACCTTCAACCAATTATCAATGTAACATAACCCTCCGTCGCTTTGGACAATAAATCTTTGTAGATTTTTTAGTGATTTAAATAATTCTAATAAATGTGGTAATTGTTTATAACCTATACTAAGTCCAAGGGTGGTCAGGTTGCCGCAATATTTTTGAATGTGATGAAATATGGAGTCGTATAACGTTAGTTGATATGACGCGTTTACTATTAATTCCGTCAAATGATTTCCTAGATTTTTGATTAATTCAAGAATTTCTTTGGTTGGACATTTTTCGGGTAAAAGATAAAAATGTCGGTTATTAATTTCTAAGGTGGTTAACCTTGGAAATTCCATATTTAACAAAGGTCTCACGACATTATCGGTCAAATTATAACAATTTATAAATCTAATTTCTTCAAGATTTTCACTAAATTCCGATATACATTTCAAGTCTTGTTCATCATTACCAAATGATACGTGATCCAATTGAATTCCTTTTAGAGTTTTCTTTTGGGAGTACAATGACAAAAGTATATCGGTGACTCCTCTGCTAACCCTTTTAATAATCACCTTTTCAATTCCTTTCTGTGCATTTACCAATTTGGTAATGGCTGAGTTTACAGTCCCGATATCACCATAATCCCAATCGTTTTCGTTAATGATGAGATTTTTGATCGATGTCGTTGATTTGGCGAGTGATAAAAGTATTTCATTATTCGCATTATCATTTGAGCAATGTAAAGTATTCAATTTCGGTAATCCCGCATTATGATCGGCACTTAAAAAAGGGAAGGGAATGGATTCACAACGAGTTCTTCTCTTTAATTCTCGAGAGACGTCAATTTTCAAGTATTCTAAACCTGGTGAATTGTTTAGGATCATTTTTAAGATTTCTTTTGACAGCATGATTGAAAAAACTTGGTCCTCTTTTGCTGGGATCTCTTCAGGTTCTCCATGCGTTTTATCATTAAATATTACCCAATCTAATACACCATCATAAATGTCCATGAATGAAACTTTTCGAAGATATGTTGGGTACTTTATAAGAAATTTCTTGTGATTTTGACTGCCCGTAATCGATTTCGTCTTCTCATCCAAGAAATCGAAAAAAGTCGTCACAAGTCTTCTTGGATCCTTCTTTATCAGATTGAATGGATTACTCCATAATAATGGGATGGTTAGTTCACACCACACATGATTAACTAGCAGACACGAATATAATGTATTGTTATCATTCGGATCAATGTGTGATAATATTTCTCGAACGATATCATTAGGAAAATGAAGTTTATTTATCGTGTTCATTTTTTTTTTTTTTTTTGATATGAAGAAAGAAAAAATGGTTTGTTTTATTAAATGAAAAAAAGAGATATTTATTTATTTTGATATTATGTACCTATCTTGTATTTATATTTATAATTGTTTTTTTCTGTTTTACAAACAAAACGAGAGATCAAAACTAAATTTAGAAATTAATACAACAAACCGCTTGTCTTTTATTTACAAACAAATGATGAAGAATTCATTCAATGATAAGCTTGATCGTCAACGATGTGACTATGTTCGATCGAGGATCATATATTTTTTAATGCAATCTATTCAAGTCGATTTTTTTTAATGTGCCTCCGTAACTATTAGAGGAGCGCCTCGGCCGTCCGTTACTTGTAAATCTTTAATCGACAAGGTTGTGAAATGAGCCACATACTATATTTGTTTTTGTTATGATAAAATGAGTTTTGGCGTTATTACATGCAATGCAAGAGATGAATCATTAAAATGTTATTGACTCGTGGCAATTTAAAATTAGGTCGAAACTATGAGATTTTTAAACCGTTTTTGCTGGTTAACCTAATTCACATGTATTTTTTTTTTTTTTTAAAAAAAAAAAGGAGGGCGTCGGATAAATTCCGATGATGCTCATTTCCTTATTTCACACGTGAAAAAAAAAATTAGAAAAATTATATTATATTGTATGATCCATAAATGGAATCGAATCTTTTATATTGTTTTTCAAAATAAGGCGCAAATTCATCCTTAAAACAATTTCTCGTTTCAATCTCGATTTAATTAACGCAATGTGGTAAGTTTACGAGAAAAATTTTTTTTGTTTAAAAAAATAATAATTATCAATTAAAGAATATCACGTGATTTCTCGTGTTAATGATAAAATATTATGTATTGTTTAATAAAAAAACTTATTTTCTTGATATAAATTAGAATTAATTTATTTATTTGATTTTCACAAAAATAAATGGATTTTAATAACGAGGTCCTTGACCGAACCGACCGTTTGACCGACCATTTACACTAACAGAAATCTTAATTGAGCCAATTATGATAATGTTTAACCATCTATATATATAAATTTGTTTGTTAATAGCATTCGAGCAAGAAGGTTTACATCATTAGATATAGTGAGATGATCAAGAATATGTTGAATATGTTTTCTCCTTAGATATTTTTCCTCGTAAGTTTTATTTATCCTTTATTTTCCTTATTCCTTTGTTTTCCATAAACATTTTACTTTTCATTTTTTTTTATTTATATAATAAAATAAATAATATATTATCGTTATTGAAATGATTGTTAATTTAAATACATATTCGTTATTTACTAATTAAAAAACGGTTGATTTTCAGTCCGAGACTTTGTCCGACAGACATCAGTCGCGATTATGTTAGGTCATAATGTGACCATTAGCACCCTAATAACACTGTTGAGCGTAAATTTTCAGATTGAAAAGTCAAAAAAAAAAACTATCTTTATTATGTTTTTCTTTTTATTACTATAATTTTATATAATTGCAAAAAAAAAAAAATATATTAATTGACATTTTAATGATAAGCTTTAAAAATAATAATTTGACTTTCATAACTCCCCATGAAATAAATCTTACACGTCCGAGTTAGAATTTGTTTTTATGGTGTAATTGAAAGAGAAAAAAAGAAAGCTTTGTTTTATTTCTAATGAAAAATATAAAATTATTCGGAAAAATAAAAATATTTATCAAAGGAGGAATTAAACCATAAAAGGTAAGTTTTTTTACGCTACATATTTAGTTACTATTTCTATTCACTACCAATATCATATACCACATAGAAAATTTCGATGCAGCGTAGGTGAGCCCTTGAGAGTGCAGTTGATGTATGTAGATAATTTTTGCCAAGAAATCTCTCATTGAGAGGTTAGATTGATGCGACGAAAAAAATATGTACATATTCTGGAGTGACTATCTGTATCGGACTATTTAATCTTAATATTCCGATCAATTATATTCTGCTAATATCTCTATACCAGTGACGGCAAATTACAAGGTCATTTACTATTTTTTTTCAAATGACCTTGGTCATTTTGACTTGAAATTTATAATAAAAGTGA